GACGATAACTACAACAGGGAAAATTTCGTGCTGAAGGGGGCCTTTGGAGAGCAAAATATTTACACATACTAAATCAGGCGAAAGTCCTTGTGAGCGTGTGAAAGTGTGCGTGTAATGACCTTGTCGGGATGTTGGTCCTGTGCACTTTTGTTGAACTCAGTTTTCACTATCCACTGGACAGAGTTTTACTCTCAATTATGCAATTAGGTACAGCATTTAGGACAACTTAAAAGCTCAATGAATTCTTTTCTATAAGGTTCCTATTAAAACCTCCCATGGATTGACAAATGAGCCGGGGAAAAAGCAACTAATTTTGCACATTTTTCACTGGCAGCCATTCATTTGGCACTATAAACTATTCATTAGCATTGAAAAAGCTGCCAAATGCAGAAAGGCTCGTATTTAAACCATAATTCATCAGCATTTCAATGCCCAAGGAAACTCAATGTGTGTTTGCGAAATTATCATAAATTAGGCAACGCCAGTGGCTGGGGTATAAAATGATTGATTGACGTTACGTTTCGAAGCCAAATTGTCGAGAATAGGATTTTTACTGAGTTCACTTCCGTTTAAAGAGACTCGTTTAATTCTGGTTCATTTGGAAAATAGGAGATCAATGTGCAAACAATAAACATGCAGCAAAAGTCAGCTTGTGTGTTTTTTTACCCACATCGACCTACTTCTTACCAACGCTGGCATATTGATGGCTGGGATGGGAAATATAGAAAAGACGGCAGCATTTAGCTCTCATTCGTTATGTGTGTGTGACAGTTGACTGAGGTCCTTGGGATGGGGCAGCGGCCATATCATATAGAAAGCGAAAACCGAAACCGAAGACAACTCATATGAGCATGGAGCACACAAAATTGCATGTCGAGTGCTGCATAAAACTCGAATTACAGCAAATTTGTGGATATCGCTTGGCAGCCAAAAGTTGTGAGGGATCTGGTGGAAAGGCAGCCAACCGTTCATATGCATTTGGTTTTTATTCGACAAATACTTCCAGGCATAATCGGGCGCAAAACATCCGCGCAGCTCTTTACAAATGAAAACTTAAATATATATTATTCAAGATGTAATTCACTGGCTCCGCACTAATGTAGATTATGAAGTGGCAAAGTAAACACATTTATTTATTTATATTTAGCAACATTTGTACGTTTTATACTTTGTGAATTGGCCCACTGTGTGTCACAGTTCGCTGACCATTGAACTTTTCTGTTTCACGTTTCGCTCTCTTCGCGAACGAAAGATAAACAATAGTCCGAGACAATTAAACTGTAAAACAACGCCGAGAACGCGTCGTGTCACAACATTTCTGACACTTTAATTGCCCCCAAAAGATGTGCAGGAGCAGCGACAAGGACGAGGGATGCTGCACTGCGTCCAGCGAGGCAAGCGAGGCAACGAGGCAAGCGACAGCGACCACATAATTTGCGGCTCTCACTTGACTTTAATTGCATTTACCACTATTCGAGGAAACTTAATGCAAACAATTACAGGGTCAGGCGTGGGCGCAATCTACAAAGGACTTCATTGGTGTCGTAGTCGGGGTAATGCATTCGCAGACGCCATAAAATGCAAATTCCTGCTGATCCTGTTTGGCGATGCCGATGCATGTGCTCGCTCCCCGCCATTTAGCCGCGTTAACTGGGTTTGCTGGATGGTAGATGGTACATGCTGTCCCGTCCGCCAGGATTCCACGATGCCAGGATGCCCGACTGTCCGACTGTCCGACTGCCCTGTCATGTCTGCTGTGCGCCAATTTCCATGCCTTCCACGGCGGCGTTCCTGGCGCGCTTCGGCACAAACCAATCTAAGGATGTTGTGGAGCCCGCAATCCCACTGCGCCTCCAAATGGGTGAGTGGTGGGTGGACGAGGCCCGGATCCGACCTGCTCCAGCGGCCGTAGCACAAATATTTGATTTGAATTTTCGCTTTCACTTTCTATTTTCTCTCAACAGTTGAGTACACCGAAATAAAAGGGCATCAGGCCTAAAGAAATGGAATAAATATAATATATGTTGGTTTTAAGAAATACATACGCTTTAAAAAAAATACCCATCCCTTGCGATTGAAACATGTCGTTTTGAAAACAGGACCAAGGGTAACGCCTTTGATTCTATTGTAATCCTTTGTGAGGTCAAGTGATGTACCTATAAATTAGTTGTATTTGATTTTTATTATTCTCTGTGCATATTTTCAGCGCAGCTTAACCCAGCTTTGCGACTATGTATATTGAAACTGGCTCGACATAATCCCCAAGTATTTTAGCGCTGGCACTGCACCTTTGACCCCCATTTGCACATCCAATGCACCCTTGGCACCGCCCCCTGTGAGCAACTCATCAAAGTGCCATTACTTTTACCCCCTGCAAATCCGACAAGGGCAGTGGCGATGTTGTCACCAGTTGGAGCTTGTAGCCTTAGATAAATATGCAAATGGACTGCATGCCAGTCAAACGGAGCCCTGTGCTCTGTTCACGTTAAGTATACGACATGTGTTTGCGCATAAAGTGCGATTAGCCCAGTACTTCAAATTGAGACAAGCAATGAATGGCTAAGATTTCGTATCGAGCAGGCTCATAAATCAAACGCAAATGTACAAGCTCATTAGATGAGTCGAGTTCATTGACCGATACACGCGCCCTGGACTACAAAACTTTCGACTGCTGCCGTTTCACCCTTTTGTGGCGGATCCGGGTCCGCCGCCCAAAAGTAGGCAACACAACACAATTTTATCGGGCCCACGCACGTCAAGGTCCGGGCCCACGTCACGCCCACTCCGCCCCTTGGCGGCGTTATATATGTCCCTCCATTTCTATATCTCTATTGGGTTTTGTTTGCCCAGCCCTTGTGGCTTATTTATTTATTTTTTTAATTTACTTCTTCCGTGCGTTAGGCTTTGTTTAGTTTGGTTTCGATCTTTGCAGGAGGAGAGCCATAACTCAAAATGAAAATAAATGTTGGTAAGGCATATATGTGAGCGTTTTACATGTAGATTGCTTACGGTTGCATAAATCGTGTGACACAACTAACTTTCTATGTATTATTTGCTGCCCATATTTGGCAGCCATATTTTCCAAACGTGAAGGGCCAGAAGCAGCTTGCCATACAGATTTTGGTGTGTCTGATTATACAGTGCTTGACATGGCCATATTGCGATTTTCATTAAGATATCTTGTGGATAGCAGATGGAACTTGTTCACTTTCCACAGCACTGAAGTGGCTTACAGCAGGCTATCTATCATAGCTAAAGTGGTATAAACTAGTTAATTTTGCTCATTTTAATAGGTTAACCAATGCAGAGGATTCCTAAAAACTTGATATTTACTTGAATATTTAGTATTCCAACTAAACAGGCTTCCTTGCGATATATGTGTGCTTACCCAACTCATATTTAAGTTAACTGAAAGTTGTTATCTTCCTCAAAACTATTCCCATCACCATAAAAAGCAATCGTTTGAGCATCCTCTGACCCCACACATTCTATTCCCGTGTTGTGCTCGCTCCTTTCTGAGTACGTGCTGCGTGTCCTGTCGTCCTTGAAGAGGCTCAACTTTAAGCAAGTCAAGCCGAAAAAATCTGCCAAATCACAGGCCATTTCAATTTAAATGTCCCCGAAATTGTCCACGCCACCACCTCGTCCATTATCCTTCTCCACTTTCACCCACTTAGCGTTTGGGGCGTCCTATGCCTAATGTGCTTCCTGTCGACGATGCCAAATCGTGAATTTTTGTTTGCCGCTCGTTTTCGTAAGCCCCATACCCACATTTACCCCTGACTTTGTCCAGTTGGCTTCGGGTGACATGTCAAACACGCAACTGGGGATTTCTCCAGTGTCTTTGGGCGTCTTCAGTGGCACAGCAAATATTGATTATTATTATGGTTGGTCAGAGCACGCCGCGGATTTGGCCAGGAGCTTAGGAACTGGCCTTTGGGCCATTGACCCTGCTCCAAGACGAACCTCTGACATTCCGGCCCAAATGAGGCGGCAGTTTTTCCACACTTTTCGACGTTTCCGGTGGGCGTTAATTTGTTGATAAATTGCCGCACAATGTCGGCTTTTTAAAGGCTCTTGTTTCGGGCTGACAAATGCTATGCAAGGACTGTAAGTTTTTATGGCTGTATTAAATTTGTCGGAATGATAATCGCGATAAAGAAGCCAATTAATTTGGCTTGTCCACAAAATTTGGGTTGACATGTTTAGGATTTGATGCGCAGATTACGTTCATTTAAAGCACAATAGAATAACAAATATGGTTAGGTAGAGAAATTTCGAAAACTTACCAAACCACTTGCGACAAATTATTTAATTTAAAAATTACATGCTCAACAATTTTACGGGAGCACTGAACAATTTTACGGGAAGCACTGAACTATTCTCAGCAAACCGCTTTTTGTTGAAAAAACCTTTCAATACTTTCTGGCCACTCATAAAAGGCAAAGTTATGCACTCGAATAAAAGTTTTCGTATCAAAAAAATTGAACAAACATTTATTTATACATGTGCATTCACTTACAAGCACTTAAAAGTGAAAGCACCAGGGCAAAAAATTCAGCGCATTCATTTTTTATGTAAATTGTTATATTGGTTTTTTGCTATTGTACGTTGGCTGGTTTTTCGGTAGCATTGGGTATCTGTTTTGTAGATACGCTTCATAATTCTTTATCGGCGCTATTTATCAATTCCAATAAAAGAAAGAAAATAATATGTGAGCCATCGGGAACCGATGAAAGCCAATTGCTGAGCGAGGAAACCTGCAGTAAAATGTTTCTTTTATGCAAAGTAAATGGAGAATATTGCCAAACGTGCTTGGTCGAAGTTGAATGCGTCAGTTTTTGGCAAGAAAACTAACTAAGAAAGAAATACGAGATATAGTATATATAGATATATAGTAGGGGCAGACTTACATATCATTCATACTTTGAAAGCTGTCCAAGCTACAAATTTATCGTCCGTTACACTTAAATTATTTTTTTTACATTTCCCAACGTAATTGGTATCAAATTTATTATAATGAATAAAGAAGGATCGAGAAGGAAACGCCAAAGGTTCACCGAATCGCTCAGAGACATGTTGTTAAATCTGGGCATTCATAACAGAAGAGACTGGTTTGAGTATATTGAAAAGACTAGTAAGTCAGATTTTATTAATTATTAACTTTAATTTTGATTATATACTTTATTCACACTATTAGGATCGTCGCGTGCAAGTGATACGTTTCCCGAACAATCTGGAAGAAACTTGGAGAAAGATTCAACACCTTACCCTCCAGATAAACAAAAAAGGAAAATTGAAAGAACACATCGTTTTTTAAAGAAGTTGATGGAACAGGAGTTACAAAAAAATACAGTGATTGTCCGAAGGAAAAGTCGGCTGTCCCGATCCATGGGTAAAGTCTTTTCGGTACTTTTCAATCAAGGACCTATTGAGCAAATCAGCAGCCTGGTTTTCACTATATTCACTATAACTAAATCGGTGGTAGAGGGCATTAAAATAAGAGGCATTCAACCCCATGAACCCCATGAGCGCAGTTTCCACATATTTCCTCCGCACACTGATGAGCCTATTGCTGTGATCATGGATAGAATAGCCGCCTTCTGTTCAGGTTCACCAGACCACTCAGTCAATAATTAAGGCCAAAAACTTGAGGACCCTTATAAAACCGAGATGCAAAACTAAAAGAAAACATTCCGCAGGGCATCGATAATACCTATTTATTATCATGAAAGACGGCGAGTGAACATATAACAATTATGGGTAACAGAGTAATTACAAATATCTAAAAGTAGTAACAAATAACTGTGGACGTATATATAACTTTGTATGTTGTCATAATAGCTTGATAAACATAATACAAAAAAGAAAAAAATTGTGATTTAAAATAACATGATCTTCCACTTTACTACATATTTAATAATTGGAGGAGCGAAAACCATTTCACAAGTTGCAGGAACTGCGTGTAATGACGATTTTATTGCCGCCGAAGAAATTTCATATATCTACTGCACTCAAAAATCAATCTTTTCCACGATATAAATCCACCAAGTCATCATGTGCAACTGTCGCGCTGGGAGCTTAGTGATTAAATTTAATAAGCCATGTGATGTTTGATCTATTCTGGCTGTAATGGACACCGCGAATGCTCACTTTTCATGGCATCATGTGGAAAACTCGAATGGGGAGGAAAGCCATAACAATCCCACCTCGCCACATTAAATGCAATCAACACAAATTTTCGGTGAATTTTTATGTGGGAGCCAGTCAGCGAAGCGCATTAAATAAACGCCACGAGACGAATCTCGTTTAGTTTAACGTCAACAGTTTTCCACCTAACATGGCCCAAACCCATACCTACCTCCCCCCTGCGCGGTTATCTCCAAAACAAGTTCACCGAAGGGGTTAAGAAAATCTGCTGCAAAATGTTCGTCTTTGTGGCTGGTCTGGCTTATCGCCGACAGCTCCAGTTTGTCTGGGACAACTTATGAGCTAAACTATTGAAATTTGACAAGTGAACAGGATGGTAAGGGGAGTGGTGGTCAAGTAGCCAGCTCGCCAATTTAGCCAATCCAATTAATTAGCTCTTGACAGGGCGACACTCCAGGTATGAAATTAAAGCCAAGCGATGTAGCAATTGTTACGCAATTTGTCAAATATCGATTATTAAGGTTTCCCTGGCTTTCTATTATTAGCCTCCAGTTTTCGATGCCTTGCCTAGCTTGTAGGGTCTCCTAGGTCAAAGTTCAGAAGGGCGCATAATTGATTAAGAGCCTGAGCCGCAGCGGGTAAGATTATACGTTTAATGCTACAAAGTGGCAAGTTGCAGTTCTTTGCACAGGAAAAGGTAAAAGCTTCATTTAAACTCAAGGCATTCTAATACGCATTTGAAACTGTAACAAATTCAACAATGTATTCTTGAATTTCAGTCACATTTAAATTTGTTCCGCACCACCTAGCGCGACCATACATAAATTTTCCACTTTTTCATCTCCAGTTTTTCAATTGCTTTACTGCGACCTAGAGATACAAACTAACTGGCGACTCTGCTGCTGGTTAAACACTCATAATGGCCAGCTTAGTGTCGGCTAAAGTCAAGTGGTAGTCCGGTCTGCTGATAGTCTGGGTTTCACTGGGTGCGAGATGCCCCTTGATTTGCCAAAAACTTTAAGCTGACAAATTATTCAAAACAATGTTGTTGGGGCCAAAGTTGGCAGCCAAAGTGGCTAATGAAAGAGCTGCGCAATTTCAATTGTTTGGCTTTCAGGCATTTCGTATCTTTCAGCGCGAAATGAGTTGCCACTTTTTATGGCCACTGCCGTTTTATTGGAGCCCCAAAACTATTCGGTGCAGTTAAAGCCAAAAGGAAATAACAGAAGCTGTATCTGAAACTGAAACGCAGACAAGCCCCCATACATATGCAAATGCAGTTGTCTGTTCTCGGTTTGCTGGGATTGTTTGATTGTACGTGGCAGCCTCGTTGTTAAATTGAAACAGCAAACTCCGTTGGCCAAAGACTGTGCGATGCGTTTTTAAACTAACTCGTTCCGGAGCAATAAAAAAGACAGATAAAATATTTAGAAAAAAAGCGGTCCCCTAAGGTTCTACCGAGATTTGAACTCGGATCGCTGGATTCAGAGTCCAAAGTGCTAACCATTACACCATAGAACCAGGTGAAGGTCCCACCAAAATTTGCACTACTGAAATCAGTGATCTTGAAAGAGCTTTTATGCTATAAAATCTATCTATCTATCTTTAAATCTATAAGAAAACCAAATATTACTTTGTCACGCATAAGAAATCTATTTTTATGTATGTAATATAAATATCACGATGGGCTAATTATAAAATTTACTTAGGTAGCTTCATTCAATGCTGCAAAATGGTTTATTTAAATAAACACAATTGAGACATGAAACAATCCGAAAAGAGAGTTGAAAATTATAATCCCATTAGAGGTCAAATCCACACTGCAAGCAAAGAAAACAGTATTTCGCCCAGCAGTAATTGTAGTTCTCGCCTCCTGAATTCTTAGAGTTCCTTTGTTTGGATTTTTGCGGGGCGTGCCAAGTCAATTATGTGCAGCTCACTTTCGTTTGTCTGCCGTTGCTGGTGATCCTGTCTTTGTGCTGGTGTCGCACAATTAAACGGACCTAATTAGCCAAACACTTGTAATGCTAACCCGACCGTTTCAGCCCCCTCCACTCGAAGGACCCAGTCCCACCGACCGGATTGGTTGAAATGCCCGGACACGTTCATTGCTTTGCTTACCTCTTGCTTAAATGGGCTTAAGCGTTATTTTTAAATAAACCCCCAATGCGCATACATATATGTATGTCCTTTTGACACCCACTCCACCGCCGACGTTATTATCACATCATTTGCATGCGTTTAGTGGGGGCGGCAGTGGAGGTAAATAAGTGGAGCTCTGTGCAGCTCAGGCGAACGTAATTCGATGCCAACTTTGACGATGACAATCTCATTAACATGACATCGAAATCAGAGCTCGTCGTCGGGTTACGTTCCCATATAGTCGGGCATAAAATCCGAGGGACAGTTCAATGATAGATGCTCGCTTTATGCTCGTCTCTTGTCAGAATAAACGGCGATTGCCAATCAAATTACCATTGCACGTTCAACTCTAGATGCTACTGATTTCATTTTGCTTTCTACGGCGATGGAAAAACATTATATTTTACATGAGTTTTACACTTTTCGTAAAGCTCTGTAAAGTTTTCCCAAGGTTGCAAGCTTTGCTAAGCAGAAGATGGTAAAAAGCTTGTACAGTCTGTTTAAAAAGTAATCGCACCACTCCCAAGTTGAATTTAAATCATAACTCTTGAAATATATTTAGAAAAAGAATTAAATATCTAAATTAACATGGCTAAAAAGTGAAGATTGTAAAAAGCTTGCACAGTCTGCTAAAAAGTAAACGCGTTACTTCAAAAATTACTTTATTATTCATATTTTACTAATATTAGAATTGTATAATAGAGCTTTTTAAAAATATTTAGAAAAATTATTAAATATCTATAAGCTCTAAACATGGTTAAAAAGATAAAGGTATTATGGAATTCTCTCCAAACAGGTAACTTGGGGTGTTCTATAGATATACTAGACATAGATAGATATACCAGAGCTATCAGTCTTGGGAAGTGAGATGACCCACAGGTGGAAAGGCCGTATATAAAGCAGCCACGCGAATTTGCGGACATAACATGCTCGCATAGGGGATGCTTTAAAAATAATTCATAAATGTTATCGCCTAATGCGTTAGCGTGTTCCCGATAAGGCTGCACTCAAGATCAAACGTTTTTTGTACAATCTATATGGAAATATAATCTGCGGGCAATCGAATGTTCGTACATACGTACTTTACAGAGAACTGCAACTGGCGATTAGCTGGAAGAGATTTGAGTGCAGATAGTCGCACAACCCATTGACATTTTAATCGGGGGGATCCTAGCAAACTTTGATTTATACGAACCGGGAGCTATACTATCTAATCGATAACAGGTAACCGTACAGTTCATGGGATAATCAGCGTTGTATTAAAACCGTTACCGAACCGTGACTGGAACCACTGGACGCGTGGAACTCTTGCCACGGATGTGGCATAAATTTAAAAGGGAATTGCCGCCTTATATATAGTATTAGTGGCAGCAGTTTATTGGCCTTCCATTGGTCAAGTGTTGCGTGTTTATCAGATCATAAACTGTTTTCCAGCTTGTGTGTTCGATAAGAGCTATAACAACAGCCAAAATGCCACCCCAAAGGTAAAGAACCATTGGCAACAGTCAAAATCGATAGGTGAATCTCTCTATTGTTTATATTGCCCTCATATTTGCTGACGCGTTGCAGATATCAGCCTTTATTAAACCCTTGAATAATTTACCAAATATTTGAATAATTTCTGTGAATCACTGGGCTATGATAATCTTGCTATTCATGGCTAATACTTTGCATCTGGTGTTTTCCTTTACTTTTAATTAATTTACTTATACTTATCTTTCTTAATTTCCCGGAATGTCAGCTATCATCGCGCCCTACTAAAATAAAAGAGCTTGACTTGGCAAATTCGAAGCAGTTGATATTTGGGTGAACACCTGTTTGGTTTGAATATTTGTTTATAAGAAAGCCCACTTGTGATAACTTGCGTAAAAAATACAGTCAAAAGGATCTCAAGGAATACCGCCACGGAAATACTTCAAAATGGTAGCACAGGTAAATACAACATTTATTTTATTTGCTTAAATCAAGACAGGCTTAGTTCAACGAAGGGAATTTCATAATATTATTTTAATGCGTAATTGCTAATATTGCTGCGGGTTGCTTTAGTTTCCTGGGGTTATCAGTTATGTCGCAACAAAAATGAATTCATTTGAGGTACTTACTATGTACTTACATAAATATGGCAAAGAAAATTGAGACATTTTGTATATTGCCTTGCCTAGTCAAAGCGTCGGACTTAGGAAGAGTTATTATTACTACAAAATTACCGAGCAAAGTCTGAAAGTCGCATTCAGAACTATTAACTGGAAGATGTGTTACGTTTCTCAAACTATTTTAAGTACCACTCGAATAAAATGATCCCCTATGAGATCATGTTACTGAGAGCACTTCGAGATTGGTGCTATTACATCCACTGGAAGATTCCCACCACGCCCCACTGATAAGCCTCAATTGCCAGGGCATCGGGAAAAGATGTCTGGTATTCACACTTGGTGGGAGCGAGCCCGCCGATCGCATGCTGCTGATAACAGGGTATCAGTACCAGGTAGCACCCATATCGACATGGACGCCGACGCCGCCGCCGCCGCCGGCAGAGCGATCCGTCTCGGCGGAGACTTCTCCATAGCATCCGATCCTGAACGGCGTTCAGTTCACGCTTTGCCTTCGCCGAATTCGGTCGTGTGTGCTGTCGGTTCTCGAGCCAAAGAGTGGGAGTACAGATAATAGACGGCCATCGATTTGCGTGACCGAGGAAGTACCGAGCGAATATATCGAGAACGCGTGGAAACCAAACTAGTTAATTATGTAAGTTTGCGGGGAGAAAGCAGTAGGTGC